TTATATTTGTATTTACTCAAAATGCATTGAAGTTCTTTGACTATGACTAAATAAGTGTTGGCCATAAGTAAAAATGATTAAAAGCACAACATTTTGTGAAAATATTTTATATGAATTGACTTAAGTACCTAGTATGCAATCGATAGGCTCAAAATTTGCAAAAAATTGTGCGAAACTGCATCTTGATTCTTGGTCTACTAATATCTACACTAAGATTTAGAGAAAAGTTTAATTACGCTTTCTTTAATCATTATTTTAAGTTTTTTATAAAAGGTCTAAATTGCAAGTATTTGTTTTTTCAAAACTGTCTTATCGTGAATGAAAGTACTGATGCATTGGAGACGTATTATAGATATTTTGATATTTCCTAAGCTTTTCGTTGTGTGTCAGTGTAATAAGTATACTGTCATAATAATTTATTTATACGTAGATCGGAAACTCAACGTGAAAAACACTTCCTCGCTAACTGATTCAGTAATGACATGGAAATTCATACATAATAAGTAATAAAGTAAAATTAAGGTATCTAACTAGAAATACATCATTTTGTGTTGACGGCTCTACTGTATAAAAAAATAATTTATTCGATATTTTAATTTTCAGACGAGTTTTGAGTACGTCAAATATCAAAATATTCAAAAATGCTTATAGCTCATTATCGACATTTTTAATATCGTAAATAATAACGCACAAACACAAATAATATTTTTACCATTCAGTTTAATATAGGTCAAATCCACTAATATTCATGGCTAAAGCTAATAACTAATAACACAAAATTGCTTCATCTGGATTAAAATGTATTGTTGGTCTTTGTACAACGGGGGATACAATACAGGTGGTCGTGACGTCCTCTTGAGCAATTCGTAGGTAAGAATACTAAAATCGATTTGAAATTTGAAATTTTTAAATCAAAACTCAATGTATTTTTCAATTTTATCATTTCCCCAACGTTTTTGTACACACTTTAATTTTTCTTCAGCAGATATATTTTCTTAATTAACTATTTACTTAATTATTTTTCTAATAATGCTGTTTATTTTTTAATTCTTATAGTTTTTCCACCAAATGTGTTTACAATTTTCAAGTAGGTAAATTGTTGATACCTTGTCCTTACGTTTGTACTTTTACATAACATTTAACACCAGTGAGCGTTACCAACCACCATAATATGGTGTTGAAATGATAGACTCCTAATTCATATATCAAAATTTTGTCCTCAAAGATTTTTTCTTATCAACTCATACGAGGTGTATTATTAATGAATATCATATTTTTTATATAATTCATTAAACATATTATTTAAATTTTAAATGCCATACAATAAGTATTTGTTATTAATGTAGTAATGTTGTAAGTAATTACGTATTTATTAATGATTGTATTTCAAATACAAAAACAAAATTACATAGGTAGTACTTGAATACCTCAGAGTGCAATATTCATACAATAAATTATAGTATACTTGTATGGGTATATATATAATCATACTTTCATACCATTTCGAATTGAGACTGAACGGGGCTGAGTATTGAATTAATTTTAATTTCAGCTCCGAGCAGCGAGCAATATGGTACGAGTATATATAAGTAGGTACTAAGACAATCACCAACAGAGAAAAACTTATACGTTTAATACTTTGCTGCAATAAGTGCAGTATCGTCAAGCAGAAACGCGCTACAATAGTCGTTGTATTATTAAATAATAACAAAGACCAGCATCAGCATGCAAGTGAAATTGTTAGGAAATAGTATATTATATTGACAGTAGGATAAAAATGTACGTTCTGGAGCACCTCCCTCTTAAATCTGACATGTTAAAGCACAGGCACCGATGTATCGGAAATTCGAAGTACTCAAGTACATGTACCTCCCAAACTGGCAATAATTAATGAGTATAAACTTTTTTTTAAATCTAATATTCTGGTGTACGATTGAATCGACTATTATATCGGACCTTTAAGGGGTATTCTTTTCCTTTGCCTCTACTCTAAGCTTATCAAAATTTTAAGTATTCACATGTACATACATATTACGTACGTACACACATATGGATATTCCTTCATACTTACATACATACAACATCACATACATATAAATACCATGAGAGTATGAGACCTTACTTACAGATTACATACTATACAACTATATGGTATCGCAAATAAACACATTGCTAAAGCATTCGTTACATAGGTCTACATTCACCTTTAATCATTATCATGGACGCCTAAACATATTATATATTCTTCATATATAATCACATAAATCTATACACACATACATATCGTAAGTATACAATTTATAGCACCAACATATATAATATATAGTATTCATACATAGGTACATTCTTACATAATATATACATACATACAACATCACACACATCTCTTCTTGATAACGGTTTACATAGGTATCAAATATGAGACAATTTTTACAGCATGCATTTCATATAAGTATACATAGTACATATACCTAAATACATATAAATATCATAATCTTAATTATAGACTACAATATTACATACACACAGTCACAGTAACACTAACACTAACAACACAATATTACAATAATAATTCAATATAGTCAACCGTTCATTTACTCACACACACACACACACACACACACACACAAAGATAATGCAACGCCGGGATCAAGACTAATTTTTGGTTTTCAAATAACGGGATCAGTATAAATAATCCTGGCCCCTGGGATTCCAATACGGCGATAACTCTCTAACATAACCAACAATGGGCCCACGTTAATCCCGGTCAACGTGTTTATTCGATAAGATTATACATTCGATTAAGATTATATAATTTAATTATTTTTATATTATGAGATGAACAAATTAGCTTATACTGTTCTCTGATCCATACAACATGTTATTATCTACAAGTAGCGCTACGGCCAATTATCGATTGCCAATGATACAGAGTACCAATGTCCAATACTATACACCTGGGATTCAGGCCACAATCTTAAAAATAATTAAATAAAATAAAATTGAGGAGGGCCAGTTCGAGACCACTGACTTTTATTAGGAATTCAACCTCCCATTTGGAGACGTGCCTGTGGTACCTACTTGATGTTTTTGCTTATATCCTACCTGTAAGTATATGAAACTGACTAATTAATAATTAATATTATTATAATTGTTAAATAAAATAATAATATCATCACGATTTAAGAATATTTTTTTTCATATTCCTTTAATGATACTAAAAATGTCGACTTATAATTTTAAACATAACTACTCGATGATATAAATTGTTTATAATCTATACGTGACCAAGTACAGGTGCAATATGTGTTTTACATTTAAACCGTTCAAAGTAATTTAACTGAATAATAGTTAAAGTTGAAAAACAATTACCTTGTGTTAATACACTTTAGGTAGGCACTTAAATATTTTGATTAGCAAAATTATGTCATAACCAACATCCGACGTGTTAAGTTATAAACGCAACTCCAATATACATAAATTTAATCAAGTTTGTATGCATAAAAAAATGTTATGCACATAAAATTTAATTAAATGCTCTAGACGTAGATATAGAAAAAAAAACGTATTTAAAGAGTGTCGGATGAAACTATTTTGTCATTAGCGATTTCAATTACCTATCCAACCTCCGAACATCAAAATATCAGGTTAGAACTTATAATATATTATTTTAATTTAGATTGGTACATACTTAATAATATGTAACATATTTCTTAGGTACGTAATAATAACTAAAATGGAGTACTTATAGTTGTCGAACAAATCCATACAATAACAAATTTAAACGTTGCTTTTTAACTCATAACTAACTAATAAGCATAATGTATTTTAAAACTCGTACAAAAAAATGTTGATTTTTTTTATCTACAACTCTTAATATTGTAAATTTTTTCATAATTATTTAAGACTATAATATATTTATGAATTATTGTTGAGTAAAGTGACATAACTTTATGAGTTTATTATTTTATAAAATATAAATAATAACCAATAAGTGCACAACAATATTTTTGTTGAAAAATGTCATGTGAAATATTTCAAAATAACAGACTTATTTATTTATATCACGGAAAAATTAAACATAATATAAAAAAATGTAGTATAGTTATTATTAGTTTCACGAAAATAACGATTTCTTTATGGGTATTACACCTACATTGATAGATATCATAATCTAAATGCAATACCTAGGCATAAGATTTATTGCAAATGTATACTTTTTGAGTTAAAATTAAATTGATGCATTGTTCTTATTATTATTCATCTCAATTAAAATTGAAAGTTATTTTAGTAAAAACTTAATAGTGGAACTAAGAATGAAAATTACACAAGACATAAAATAATATTAACTGTACCATCAATCAGCTATACTTTAGAGGTTAAAATAATGAAATTTCAATTCTGGTACGTACACCACGGAACTATATGCTAGTCATTAATTAGATGTACTGATTTGTGAATGACAAACAGAGATGGCTGTAACCATGAAGGCTTAAAATCTGGTAAAAATTACATCTCTTGACTCTAATGATAGTATTCAGAGTTATGCATTTCCAACATTATTCACATCTGTATTATTTTTTATTAATTATCATTGAAAGTTTTGTCAATAATGGTATATAGCTTCTATAGAACCCAAAAATTCGTAAAAAATCCAAATGAAAATATAATAATAAGTTGTATAGGTATTAATATTTTTAAACACTTATAAATTTAAAAGAATGACATAAACAATTCTATGTTTTAATAAAAGGTATTTCACTATAAAGTTATGATAATGAAATAAAAATATAGGTTAGGTATTATTTACAGATCATGAGAAATTGATAGTAGTTTAACCAACAGACATTTTTTGTGAAAGAACCTAATTTTCTGCATACAAAGTTTTAATGTTCATATACTAACGAATAAAATTCAACATTGAACATATAAATATTAAGACTTAAGAGTATCACTTTATATTTTATTATTTAATAAAGTGTATTTACAATGTGTTATAGATAAAATGTTTGCAGTGCAAGTATTGGTCGTTCTATCGGCGATGGTTATTATTAATCAGGCAGCAGTATTTGACTCCGAGGGGCAAACGACAACCAGTTCTGGAGTTGTTACAATCGGACAGGCAAATGATGTTTCTGAAACTGTGACTTCAGATGATTTTTCTACAACACAATCATATGAAGATATCATAGATACGAGAGAACCCGAAACAAATAGAACATACTTCAAATAAAGTTATTGTTTAACTATTCCAGTAATTATGAAAACAGTAGGCGATATTGTAGCTGAACAATTAAAAAAAAATGTGAATATATTACAATTAAAAATATAATACATGATAAATCATTAATTAAACTGTCATTATTCTCCCTATTAAATGAATTGTTTGGTGGAGCCAATTGGGATCTTCTTCGTGGGTTACTCTTCCAATCCATATAGTATAAACATTTTTCCTATTTCCACTCCACAAATAAAAATATTTTTCTCAAATTTAAAAACCATCGATTTCTGTACTATATTAGATAAAAAAAACTCCTTATTATTTATATATTATTATCAGTAAATCAGTTTGCCGCCTTTTGGTCGGTTGCTAAAACATTTCTTTCACGGTAAAAATTTTTTTTAATACTATTCGGTCTTATTATTTTTGACTATTTATAGCGGTACTTTATTTTTTTTTCTAAAAATCAGCTCATCATCGACTACGATGCAACATGATACTATTTACGTATGTATCTAAATATAAGCTAATATAATAAGTTATTAATAATATTGTTACAAGTCTGTTTGGAACACTATAGATGAAAGATATCTAGATAAAAAACTCCTGTATTATTTATACATTATTATCTCTTATCAGTAAAGCTCGCGTGGCTGTTTGTCGCCTTTCGGTTCGTTGCCAAAACATTTCATTCATTGCATACATTTTGTTTAGGAATATCATCATTTTTAATGATAAAATAAAATAATAATAAATTAATAAATGTAAAATATTTTTTTTTTCAAACAACAGGTTGAGAAATAATAAAATATATTGTAACATAATTAATATTTACCATAACGTAAGGTATCATAATAAAATACCACAATAATGCCTACCGACAGCCAGTCTTTAACTAATATTGGGAGTTCTCTATCTAGTAATGTATTGAAATCTATGCCGAGAATATACGATAACATTGTTATATGCATAATGCACACAATTCAGTTAGTGATAATATTAGTGTTTAAAGTCTAAAACATTTCATGTGAAATATATTTTCACAAAAACATGAAAATTCGAATTGAGTATTGTGGTCGACGTATTATTAATAACCATATTGCGGTCTTGTTTTCGATTTTATTTTTTCCCCAAAAATCGGCTCATCATCGACGGCGATGGAATTATGATACTTTTTTTTTTAAGCTTCGGCAACTGAGGCCATTAGGTGTAAGTTGTGGTACTGTAGGGTTTTTTGAACTGTAGGGTTTGGGACACGTGTGTGTTTGTTTTGGCAGCATTTCTAGTGGGCACCCGTTGGTTTCTGTCATGCCCGTTTGGGGGGATGATCATTATGATACTATTTATGTATATTATTACAAGTCTGTTTGTAACACTGTAGATGAAGGTCAATACTTATTTTTTTCTTAATTTAAATTTTAAACAAGGTTTATTTTCATTTCTCCTTAAATCATTTCTTTTGTGATGTATTTGTGTGTGGTGTATACAAATTAATAGTGTATACTTATTAAAATATTATAAAATGATTCAATAATCATTTGTGTACAAACGTTTATCGAGTACAGAATTTAAGGAACATGGGTAAGTATAAATCAAAAATGCACAATGTTTTGAGAATGGAATGAAAAAAACATAATACCTTCACTACATGAAATAAGACAATAACTAATGACAAATGGATGTAAAAAAAAATTTTAAAAAATTGTATTGAAATATTTCATGAAATTTTTAAACACTAGACTGATGATGTTCTACATAGGTGAATTTGGAAAATGGTGAATTACCACCTTGAATATCATTTATGCCTGTTTTTTTATATGAGGAGAAAACCATAATTTAGTAAAAATGGTTTTCTTAACACTAATATTTCGAACGTTGCCCGCGGGGACCCTACTTTCACATGAATGGGGTGAACACGGTGAATATTAAATGTCTAGCTTACTACGCTCTTAAACAATTATAACCAATAAACATTTTTTAGTTAAATTTTATAAAAACCTTATAAAATCTTATATTCAATTTTCAAATACTTGATATAAATATAACATATTTTCCACTCAATATAATTTACAAATGTTCGTGATTTTGATGAGTTTAGTCAAAATTTTAACTACAGATTCTCGTTAAAAAATATTGTGAATTTCTACCCCACTTTTTTTTTAAATTTCCAATAATAACAACTTATGAGAAACCTTGTTTTAAATTTTCTAGTTTTTTAATAGAACAAAAACAATAATTATGGACAACAAAAAATTGAAATTTTTTATGTCTATAATTAACTCATAAAGAGTTATAATATTTTGCTGCCCCAATAGGTTATTAAACATCGTGTGTATAAGGTAACACGTTAGTAATCGGTTATGAGTTATGCGATTAAAATATGCAATTTTGTTAATCATATATTTAAGTAGGCACTTACCTACAATTTATTAACATAGGGTAATTATTTTCAACTTAATTAAGTTGAAACACGTATAATTGCACCTGTAATTAAAAACGTAGATTATAATGATTATATTATAGTCAATTTACCTATGTAGTATCATTTAGTGTAAAATTATGTATTGAAATTGTTGTAGCATTAACGGAATATGAAACAATATATTTATAAATTGTTACATGAAATATTATTTAATTCAACAATTTGGTTTTTGGTGAGTAATTTTATTTATTAGACAGTTTCCTATACATGAAGGCAAGAAATAAGCAAAAACATTTTAAGTAAGTGCCATATAAACGTTGATACGGTTCGCTGGCACTAGGCGACCTATTGTTGTAAATAATTTGTAATGCTGATTTATGGTATTACTTCTTATTCTATATTTTACATGAATAGGGACTGTGAGGTTTGGGCTTACTTAAGTGAGTCGACGTGGTGAGAACTCCGTAATTGATCAAGTGTATGCTAGATTGATCCTATATACAATGAGGGGGATATTTTATTAAATGGTATTTATAATATCTGGGGACGGAGCTGTCCACCGGTGGCGCGTGACTTGAACAAGCGGCTACTACTGGGTGGAAACTATAGACATGTATAAACAACCAGATGGCTGACTTAGGTTTATCTTTGATGGTAAAATCTTTATATGCCTAAACGGCAATGTTTATATTTTAATGTGATATATGTATACAATATTTTTTTACGAGCGTCTGTAGTTAAGATTTTGACTCAACTCGTCAAAATCACGAACATTTGTAAATTATATTGAGTTGGAAAATATGTTCTATTTATATCAAGTATTTGAAAATTGAATATGAGATTTTATAAGGTTTTTATAAATTTAACTAAAAAAATGATTACTGATAATTAATTTAGTAAGAGCGTAGTAAATTAGACATTAAATATTCACACATTAATGTGAAAGTAGGGTCCTCACGGACAACGTTCGAAAGATTTGTGTTAAGTAAACCATTTTTACTAAATTATGGTTTCCACCTGTTATAAAATACAGGCCTAAAATGATATTCAATCATAATAACCAAATAACCAATAGCTTTTTTTGGCATGTTTCACCATTTTTTTAATGTAGGTATTAATAACGTGTTCGTAATTGATATTAACCAAACTCCTCAGTATAGTGCTATTTTATTATATATTAACTTTTTCAATAAACATCGAAATGTATATAAGCTACACAGATCATTTTTACACATTATGATTTCAACCTCTGACAATTTCCTGCAAAAACAGGACTATTAAAGGGCAATCTATCTTGTAGTAGAATAAAAATAATGAAAGAGGAAGAAGCCTCACATTGGGGGCCATTTTGTAGTAGAATAAAAATAAGAGATGGGCTACGAAGTTGGGTACCAATTTTTAGTAGAATAGAAATAAGGTGGTGGTATACAAAAGGGGAAAGGAAGTAAATAAGAGATGGATAGATTTCACGATGTGTATGTGTTTATGCAATTCTTACTTTACTACTAAATAATGTTGTAACCTTGCAGAATATTTATAAATATGTCTTGACCGGAGTAGCCATATAATTGATATCACTTACCTTAACAGTAGCAAGACCATGTTCTTTGTCGAAGACATTCTTAGCAGCTTGTATGGTTGATCGTGGTTTGATGCGCGATATTATTGCAAACTCTAATTATTTATATATTAATTACTTCTACAATTGAAAGTACTTGATACTACGTGACCTGAGTCTCGATGATTTATATTAATGTTAAATGAATGTACCTCAGCTTCTGGACAATGGGAAAAGGACAATATACTAATACAAATATTTTTATTCGGCTGTTAGCCTTTCTTGTTGATTTTTAACGAAATATGATATACTAGTATATCCAAGATATGAGTGCTTCAGGAGCGGACCGCGAATGCTCCTAATCGGAACACCTGGACATAACTCAACACTATCGTATTATGAATATACTTATATTCCCTATATCTACTTCAGGCTGTGGTAGCGATAAAGTCTAAATGATACCTTTTCTGAGATATTTGATTGATTGATCTGGTATTGATACATAATGGAGTTTGAAAGAATTATAGGTGGTAGTAAACAAATTCAATGAGCATTGTACTTTGCAGCATTGGTTGTTTTTCAAACTCGCGCATTTGCGCATGTACAGTATGCTTGCATTGTGATGTACTTATCGTTTGAAGTAATTGCAGATTTTTGATAAATCTGGTTTGATTTATGTCTGAAATATTGTTCTGTTGTCGATGATATTATTTTTAAATATATGAGGCGTTATTTTTTTTTAGCGGTTCGTGCTTTGGAGGATATGGGTTTCAGTAGTTTAATATCTAAATGTTATTTGCGATTATGGAATATAAAATATTTTATATTTATTCGATAGCGTTTATACTAATTCCACACTTATATAGTCATCATTGGCGTTGCGTCACATTGTGTATTTATTAATGTATAAGGTAGAAATATTATAAATTACAATCTTTATCCAAATTCACCTATGTAGAACATTATCAGTCTAGTGTTTAAAAATTTCATGAAATATTAAATTTTAAATTTTTCATGAAATATTTCAATACAATTTTTTTTATTTATTTTTACATCCATTTATCATTAGTTATTATCTTCTTTCGCGTATGAAGGTATTATGTTTTTTTTCATTCAATTCTCAAAACAATGTGTAATTTTGACTTATACTTACCCATGTTCCTTAAATTCTGTACTCGATAAACGTTTGTACATAAATGATTATTGAATCATGATATAATATTTTAATAAGTATTCAATTTGTATACACTACACTAATACACCATAACAGAAATGATTTAAGGAGAAATTAAAGTAAGCCATGTTTAAAATTTAAATTACGAAAACAAAATATGTATTGGCCGTCATCTATAGTGTTCCAAACAGACTTGTAACAATATTATTAATAACTTATTATATTAGCTTATATTTAGATACATACGTAAATAGTATCATGTTGCATCGTAGTCAATGATGAGCCGATTTTTAGAAAAAAAATAAAGTACCGCTATAAATAGTCAAAAAAAATAAGACCGAATAGTATTAAAAAAAATTTTTACCGTGAAAGAAATGTTTTAGCAACCGACCAAAAGGCGGCAAACTGATTTACTGATAATAATATATAAATAATAAGGAGTTTTTTTTATCTAATATAGTACAGAAATCTCTGGCTTTTAGATTTAAAAAACATATTTTTATTTGAGGAGTGGAAATAGGAAAAATGTTTATACTATATAGATTGGAAGAGTAACCCACGAAGAAGATCCCAACTAGCTCCACCAAACAATTCATTTAATGGAAAGAATAATAACAGTTTAACTTAATGATTTTATTACGTATTATATTTTTAATTGTAATAAATTCATAATTGTTTTGATCGTTCAGCTCCAATAATATCGTCTACTGTTTTCATAATTACTGGAATAGTTTGCCCAAGAAATTTACCGAATAATGAACTAAATTCTACAGGCATTTTTCTCGGATCTATGATATCTTCATATGAATATGTTGTAGAAGAATCATGTGAATTTACAGTTTCAGAATCATAATTTGGATTATTATGTGCTTTGTTGTGCAACTTTTCCCGTTCGATTTTATCAACTACAGGAATCTTTGTTATTAGCTCCTCGTGGTCCATTACTGCAGCCCGATTAATAATAATCATCGCCGATAGAACGACCAATACTTGCACTGCAAACATTTTGTCTATAACACATTGTAAATACACTGTAATTTTAGTTGAACTTTTAGGCTTTTACTAAAATAACTTTCAATTTTGATTAAGATTAATAATAATAAGAGCAATGCATTACTTTAATTTTAACTCAAAAAGTATACATTTGCAAAAAATCTTATACATATGTATTGCATTCAGATTATGATATCTATCAATGTAGGTATAATACCCATAAAGAAATCGTTATTTTCGTGAAACTAATAATAACTATACTACATTTTTTTATATTATGTTTAATTGGTCCGTGATATAAATAAATAAGGCTGTTATTTTGAAATATTTCACATGACATTTTTCAACAAAAATATTGTTGTGTTCTCATTGGTTATTATTTATATTTTATAAAATAATAAACTCATAAAGTTATGTCACTTTACTCAACAATAATTTATAAATATATTATAGTCTTAAATAATTATGAAATAATGTACAATATTAAGAGTTGTAGATAAAAAAAATCAACATTTTTTTGTACGAGTTTTAAAATACATTATTCTTATTAGTTAGTTAAGAGTTAAAAAGCAACGTTTAAATTTTTATAGTATAGATTTGTTCGGCAACTGTAAGTACTCCATTATAGGTATTATTACGTACCTAATAAATATGTTACACATTATTTTCTGTGTTTCATACAATAAACAAACGTTTAAAAATGTGTATCTTGATGAGTATAAATTTAAAGTTATGATAAACATTTTTTTATTTTTCATAGAAATTAAATATTTTGTGAACATCTCATGAAATTTTAAAATCCTAAGATAATTATTTTTATACACATCACGAAACATTATATTAATTTGGTACACCTTATGATCTAATTTTCATTTTTACAATATTTATATGGTCGTTCTTTTGATTCAAAAATAGAAGTATTAAGTATGTACCAACCTAAATTAAAATAATATATTATAAGTTCTAACCTGATATTTTGATGTTCGGAGCTTGGATAGGTAATTGAAATCTCCAATGACAAAACAGTTTCATCCGACACTCTTTAAATATGTTTTTTTTTATACTATATCTACGTCTAGAGTATTTAATTAAATTTTATGTGCATAACATTTTTTTATGCGTACACACTTGATTAAATTTATGTACATTGGCGTTACGTTTATAACTAAACACGTCGGAAGTTGGTTAAGACATAATTTTTTCTAATCAAAATATTTAAGTGCCTACCTAAAATGTATTAACACAAGGTAATTGTTTTTCAACTTTAACAATTATTCAATTAAATTACTTTGAACGGTTTAAATGTAAAACACATATTGCACCTGTACTTGGTCACGTATAGATTATAAACAATTTATATCATCGAGTAGTTATGTTTAAAATTATAGATCGACATTTTTAGTATCATTAACGGAATATGAAAAAAAATATTCATAAATCGTGATATTATTATTTTATTCAACAATTTGGTTTCTAGTAGTTAATAATGTTAATTATTTTTTAGTCGGTTTATTAAGTACTATCAGTATCTGTAACCAGCTTCAAAGTTAAAAATCAAAATTTAAGACAGACCTCAATAAAACAAAAATTAAAAATTAAAAAATTATGTACCATTAAATGAATCGTTTATGATGTAAAATTCTCAGAATCTAAAATAAAATGTCATGTAAGTGCAGGTCATGTAATGGTTGTAACTTATTGTAACTCAAAGTCAGAACCGTGAATTTAATTAACTAAAAAGCGAAAATCATGGAGGTACAAACTTAAAAAGAGGTAAATATTCACTGAAGTCTAAAATTTAAAATAAGTGTGAAAAACATACAAAATACCTACATTGTAAAAAAAAAAAATATTTTTGTTATGTTAGAGTCTGTATACCTAACCTAACCTTATGCATGAAATAATAAATATGACCTGTATAATATGCAAAATTAAATTTCTTATTTAAAACGGTGTTATTTATAAAATTTAATTATTCAAATTATTAAAAATATTACATTAAAGGTTATTATTCCGAATAAATTCAGAATGTAATCGTTGTATTAATCCATTAAATTCATAGCTTTACTTATATAATCATAATCCATGCATTTATAAATTAAGAAATCAACAAAACTTTGGATGCGATAACGATGCACTTCAAAGTGGCACTTGATTATCCACTAAACGAATTGAACAACTAGTTTAACCTTCCCAGTCAAATGACAAAGATTATGATGGATCCAACTCACAAACTGATAAATATAAAAGATTGCGGAAATCAAAGTAGTTATCATGTAGGTCTATGTCAGGATTAACTCTAATTTCCATTCTTTAAAACTTAAATCTACACTAATTTATATTTGTGTTATATTTTCACGATTAATTTAATAATATGTATTATCATTTATAATTGCTATCACTAATACTATTATTTTTAGAATGCATTTTACTTGCCTTCTATTTGAAATTTACCTTTGTATAAAGTATAAACATTAAATTCTAAAATAAAATAAAACATATTTGATGATTCATAAACGAATATTTTTCACATTTATATTTAATTAGCATGAAATATTGATTAATTCATTGTTTCTAACAAACATAATTTAATCGATCGTCAATTCTTATTTAGTTAAAATGAAATACGGACAGAATGTGTGTCAAAAATTTAGCTAAAGAAGATTGAAGCATTTTACTTGTTTTATTTTATTTTCACGATATTATTTAAGCACAAATTTGTTTTTATGGACTAGGGAACTAACAGTATTTGTAAAAGCTTTGAGCCATTAGTATAAAATTCTACAGAACAAACATTTGTAGTTTGCAAAAGTACTTAGGTTATTTTACTTTACTCAGTAGTCTGTTATAACTTGACGGAAAAATACATAAGACTTCTAAAAATTAAAAAAAATGGTTATCACTTGCACAACAATATCTTAATAATCGATGAAAAATTCCAATATTGTAATCAATATGTTGCCTCACCAAAAAATATTTCCACAACCATCACTGATAATATATTTTTCAACACTCATTTTTGCACTAGGTAGACTTTCATTTTTCTTATCCCTAAAATGCTGAGCCCCCAAAAATTCAGGATAGTCCCCCTCTAAAAACGTTCCAATGGATTATAAGAGATTTTGAGATATAAATAGTATTGGTTTATAGTTTATGCAAACATTCGCATAGTTGAATTTCATAAATATAGATTGGACAGGAATCTGCGGAAGTTGTAATTGATCTAATAATGACTTAGTATAAAATATTATTGTCATTCTAATAATTGGAAGTTTTGAACAGGACTATACGAGATAACTGAAATGTTGTTTTTTACTAATTAAAAAAAGGGATAAAAAAACAAAAGTATATAAATAATTTACAAGTCATTAGATTTAACATGGTAGCTGCAGATCTTCTCTCAAAATCATATGTCAAAACCGATAACAGGTAGGCATTTATAAATTGAATATAATGACTAAACAACACCCTTTTGTATTATATAAGTATAGTATAATTAGTAAGTTCATAGGTAATATATATATACTAATATATTTACTAAACATTTACAACATAAACTATAATTTAATAAAAAATAAGTTTTCCTATAAAAGTTCAAAAGTTCAAATATTACAAATCAATTTCAACGGACACCTAAAATTGCCGGGCCCTTGTACCCCACGCCAAGACCTTAACCCTTATGTGGATGCCTTGTATAAATAATAAATAATAACAAACAACAAATAATAATACATTAACACAATATTAAAAACAAAATTAATTTGATTGTTTCAAATTGATTTTATTTAATGATAATAAAATTAGTTTTGATCTCCATGGTTTAATTTCTAAATACAAATTTAAACTTCCAGTCCAAGTACTTAAATTATAATATAATCCAACAGGTGATACTAAATATTTTTTTATTTACTTTCTTTAGTATTTGAGTAGATAACACACATAATATTATGATATTACTTATAAGCTCTGAAATCTGATAAGATTTGCTCTGTAAAGATCTGTTGAGCCTAAAAAAATATAAGCTGTCTTAAATTACGCTTAGCTTATATAAACTAAACCCCTGATTATAGTTTCAGAAATAAGAGTACTTTTAGAAGTCACCTAAAAAATAGAAAAAATGAATTTATTTATTTATTTAACGCACTTGGCAATCTCAAACTATAAATTATCAATCTTTAAGGAATTAAGTAAAACTTTCTTGTATGTCTCCAAACTACCTTCAAAAAAAACTTATTTAACTCCCGTTAAGTTCTACAAAAATTAACTCTTAACGGACTTAAAAGCTTTTTCAAATGATGATACTATCAAAACTGAAAAGTTTACAATTTTCTCCATTTTAAGAACTTTATTTAAACTTAGTAAAAAGGATTATGATTAAATACACAGATAAATAAATAATTATTTGGAACTTTTTAAACCAAAAGCTTCTAACTGGAGAGCACCATTTTTTGAAAGTGCACTAGACTATGATTTAATTTATTCCGTATTCATAATGCGTCATAATAATTATTATAATACGATTGTAGTGATTTGATAATGCTAACCTTAAAATGATCAGTTATAACTGATTACAGTATTCATTTTAACTATAATCTTCTATTTAAATTATAACTATTAATTCACGTACCAACCTACTACCTACAACTAGTAAAGAGAGGTGTAGCACAGTTGCCTCCTACGGCTGTTATCGGGATTTTAAAAATGTACCAGTTACCCTCAACAAAATGTATCAGTTGCCCGTAACTGAATGTACAAGTTGAACTCACATGTTAATATAAATAGATGATTACAATATTATATAGCCCGTAAAATAGGGGAGGTAAATATACAAATAATAAAAGTAAGATAAAGTAAAATAGTATAAAATGATAAAAAAAAAACATATGTTTAGAATTATACATACCTAATATTTTATTTTGTGATAATTACCAACAAAATAATACGAATACAATTATCATTAAAATTATGAACATTATAATTATGTAGCATTCAATGTGATTATTTGTCAAAAAAAAAAAAAAGTAAAAATTAGATATAATATTATGTATTATGTTGTAACGGTACAATCAACGTCCCCTACAAAACGATCCTTTTCAAGACCACCAATCAAAACACGACATTACATCATAAACCTTCAGGACAACTTCACCACAGTATTTTTAATTTTTAAAGTCCTGAGTAACTTCACACACCACATAACTTGGGCTATACGTAGGGGAGACCATATCGCATCGAGTGACACCCTCCCCGTATTTTTAGACTCAAAACCCTACGAACTACAAGTCATCTCGTGCCAAATAGTGACACAACTACACGTGGAGGCTATGCTTAATTTATTAGGCGGTACGGGGCACGACCACAAAGTTCCTATAAAATGACGAATGAAATGATTCACATTTGTTTATAGTCCTTTTTCAATCAACTGAATTCATAGCCCACAGTGAAGGTGGAAAAGTCGAACTTGAGGAAATATATATGTGTCAACTAAATAGTCAGAAAATTCAACCAATTTTTCTGGTAAAGCCTGAATTGACATCAGATCTTCAACAAAATAATCGTCCACCTACTTCACCAGAAGGTAGTCATGAAATACCGAAAATTAAGTGAAGTAATTTTATAATTATAAAATATAAATTATATAGTTCTGACATTATTGAACATTACGTATTACTCTACTTAAACTTTAAGTGTTGTATAAATACTCCAGTAGATGGCATTGATTATATTATATGTAAAATGTTGAATAATATACTAAAGTGGTAAAGTTTAAAGCTTGACGCTTATTGAGAACATGCTGATTAAATACTTGAAGGTACTAGTTTAGTAACAAATTAAAACAGTAATGTATTTTGAACAGTAACCCTTGTAATTATTTGATATTAGTGTCCAGTATCAATACAGATGATTCACAATAAAAATAAATACATTTTCAGTAGGTAGATAATTACAAACATAAATGAATTACACTACTATTTATAATATACTTTTATAATATACTTATTCATAATTAATACAATTTATTATTAATTATGTATATCAGTGGCGTATATAGGGGGGAGGCCCCCTTGGCCAGAGCCCATAGTGAAATTGCAGGTTCGATTAAAGCATTGCATGTATATTTACACTGTTTACAGTTTTTCACCATGATTAAGTTAGCCGGTTGATCAAAGTCATTTTTGA